CACAGGATGGTTTCAGGGAGATCTTCCTGTTGTTCAAGTGGGTTCACTTTGAGCCAACAAATATTTCTTGCTACACATCACTTGTAGCAAGTGATGTTCCAAGAAGCCAATTGCTTTGAACAATATTACCCCAGCACATCAATGCTAAAATCAGGGCTGGAGCCGGTGTCCCACCTCCTAGTGGGTGGTCTGTTCATTAAATGAGAAAAATGGATAAAGTTTTCCAGGACAGAGCATTGACAGGCAGAATGGCTCAGAGGCACGATGGAGAGAGCAAACAACCATGCTGCTGGTTCAGTGGGAGAAAAGGCAAGAAAGTGGGGCCCAATCCTGATTTCCATAGGACATGCATGGGTGCACATGCACACATGCGCATACACGCAGATACACACGCACACTCTCTCTCTCTCCCTGTTTTCCTCAAATTACATCTCTGGGGTGGGGCCTGTGGCTCAGTGAATAGGGCGCCGGCCCCATATACCGAGAGTGGCGGGTTCAAACCTGGCCCCGGACAACTGCAACAAAAAAATAGCTGGACGTTGTGGCAGGTGCCTGTAGTCCCAGCTACTCAGGAGGCTTTAAAAAAAAATTGCATCTCTGCCCAGGAGCATATGAACAAAAAGCAAAGCCATAAGCATGCGTCAGCTACACTGTGATTCAGAGGAACAGCTTTGAACTCTAGGCCCTCTCCATACACAAGAATCCAGTTCCAAATCCATTCAGCAGCATTAGTACGATCACATAAAAGCTTGCACTTGGGTTTGTCTCACTTTACGTCAGAAACTCACAGAGAAAGTAATAGCCATGCTATTCAGCCAAATTAGTGAATAAATGGAGCTTTCTCATCCAGGCAAAGTCACACACATTGTCCCAGAACTGATAAAGTTTCAGCTACACACAAAAGAATTATCAGTGAGACAAGGAATTTGTTCCAGGGGCAGTAAATTGTGGGGTGAGGCGTTCGCTTCCAGTCATTGGTCTGGGGCCTCCAAATGGACAGGACTCCACCATCGGGTGATCAGCTCGGATACATTATAACTGGGGCTGTTGCAACCCCAGCTGATGTGGGCAGGAAAGAATTGCCTGTGACTTGCCAAGAGATACCGGACAGTGGCCCCTGCTTTCCCTACCTGCGTTGGTCAGTCCTTATCTGCAAACTCAGGATAATAAAATTCTAAGAAAAGTTTCTTTGGCAGCCTCAGAGGGCACTTCCACGTGGGAACCACTGCTGCCATCACCTTGACCTTGAGGTGGTAAAAAGGGGAGAATTCTGTTCTGGAGGGGCTGGATAGATTCCCAAGTATGGCGCAGTTAAACTTCCTCCAGAATATTTCCTGTACTTGGCTGATGTGGTCTGCAATGTCCTTCCTAAATATCCGCTAAGACAGACAGACTCTCCACTTCTGAGAAGATCTTAAATCCTACCCAGCAAATCCAGGAGTGGAATAGTGTCCTGGATGGGGTTCGTCCTGCCGTGAATGCTGGTTGAACCCCCAGAGTGAAGGAACTTACCATTTCAGGAGGCAGATAGTTTGTCCTATTCAAGTCACCATAAATGCCAGACGTCCTGATCATCCCCACTTGGATTTAGCTCTGCACCCTCATCCACGTAGTGATCCAAGTTCACTCCAAGAGCCACTCACCAGCTGGCTCTCTCTCTCTTTTTTTTTTTTTTTTGAGACAGTCTCACTTTGCCATCCCTGGTAGAGCGCTATGGCATCATAGCTCACAGCATCCTCAAACTCTTGGGCTCAAGAAATTCTCTTGCCTCAGCCTCCCAAGTAGCTGGGACTACAGGCGCCCACCACAACGCCCAGCTCTTTTTAGAGATGAGGTCCTGCTCTGGATCAGGCTGATCTTGATCTCTTGAGCTCAGGCTAATCCACCTGTCTCAGCCTCCCAGAGTGCTAGGATTACAGGCGTGAGCCACTGTGCCCAGCCTTGACACTTCCTCATTTGCCATCCCAGGAAGCCAAGTCAGGCAGCTTACCTGCACCATTTGCCCATAAAATGACTGGGAAATGCTTCTCCCAACGCCGAACTGGTGCCATCTAGTGGTCAGGCTGTGCACAGCCACCCCACAACAAGAGCATGTCCTTCAAATGAGGTTTTTGTGAATAGTCTTAGGGTTTCTTTCTGGGCTATATCCCTTCACAGTATCCAAGACAAATTTTCTCATAACTTCAGTATGCCCTTTCTGAAATTCTCCACCACAACAAGCAGGTGTAATGCAAAGAGAGCAAATGGAGTCAGGCCTGCAAGCTCTACAGGGAAGCCACCTACACCAACCTACTGGCAATAGGACTGTGAGTGTCAAGTTCATCCTCTGTATAAAATGTGAGTAGTGCAATCTGCCTTAAAAAGTTGTGTGGAATACGTGGGAGAAAGCACACATAGCACTCAGCATACAAGCAGATGTTGATATTCTCTGGGGTTTTTTATTATCCAATATTAGGAGAGTAAACATTTGCGTGGGTCCAAAGAGCTAACAAGTATAAGGAGAGTCCAACGGGCTGCCATAGAGCAGCCTAAAGGCAAGATGTCACCTCTCTTGGAAATTGTACAAGGACCTTGCCAGGGACGTCTTTCTTACAGACACACAGACAACACTGGCCAGTGGCAAGATGAAAAAAATAAATAAACTTAACTTTGACCTTAAAAAATTCACATCTTCTGAAAAGTACATATAATAAATGAGAGGAGTTTGGCAGGGTACCCAAAGATGCGACTAGGAGAGGTTCAGACCAAGTTTAATGAAATAGCCCTGGTAAAGATGGCAGCTGCACCAAAAGTGGTTGGGGCTTGGTTTGTTTTTGTTTTTGTTTTGTAGAGACAGAGTCTCACTTTATTGCCCTCCATAGAGTGCCGTGGTGTCACACAGCTCTCAGCAACCTCCAACTCCTGGGCTTAGGGGATTCTCTTGCCTCAGCCTCCCGAGTAGCTGAGACCATAAGCGCCCGCCACAATGCCTGGCTATTTTTTTGTTGCAGTTTGGCAAGGGCTGGGTTTGAACCCACCACTCGGTGTATGGGGCCGGCGCCCAACCCACTGAGCCACAGGCGCTGCCCAGGGCTTGTTTTTATATGGGGAATATCGGGAGGGAGATTCCACAGGCTGCGGGAAGGCTTTGGCCGGCTATGGTCTTTGTGACAGAACTCTTGAGGTGGGGCCAGGGAGGCCTTTTGTTCTGGGAGGGGAGGTAGAGGAAGGTTTTAGGCACCTAACAGTGAGTATACAATAAAGCTATAACAATAAAAGCAAACTTTGCATCTCGAGGAATTAAAATGTCTCAGGAGGGCCAGGCAGGATGGCTCATCCCTGTAATCCTAGCACTCTGGGAGGCTGGGAAGGCTCTGCAGAGCCTGAGCTCACAGGTTCAAGACCAGCCTGAGCAAGTGCAAGATCCCATCTCTAAAAAATAGCTGGGCATGTGGCAGCCATCTGTAGCCCAGCTACTTGGGAAACTGAGGTAAGAGAATCACTTAAGCCCAGGAGTCTGAGGTTGCTGTGAGCTATGACACCACAGCACTCCATTGAGGGTAACAAAGTGAGACTCTGTCTCAAAAAAATAATAGTAAAAATAAATAAATAAAATGTTTCAGGAAAACAAACGAATGGGTCCCCTTAGGAAATAATAGTAGATATTCCCCCAGCTCTGGAAGATGAGGGAATGACAGGCCAGGCAACAGAGAGGAGAGGCAGCCAGCCACACAGCAGCCTGGGAGGCAAATAAAGGGCCTGGAGTAAGGGATTCCATTTTCCTTATTGTGGTGAAAAGAATTCCTTTTTCCTGGCCAATAAGGCCAATTTCTCAGCGAAGCTCAAAGCAGCATTGTGGAGGAGGCTCAGATGGAGGAGAGCTAAGTAAATCCCGGGCCAGGGATTCCGACTTTCCTCCTGGGGCTCTCCTGGAGGCCTGGGAGCCAACCCTCTAAAGAAAGCTATGCAAGGGGCGGGGAGGAGGATGATAATGCTAAAAGACAGAGCACTGAATGTTCACTCGTCTGAAAACCCCCAAAGACAATCCTTTCTAAGAAGATGGTCAAATTAACTCATACTGGCCCTGATTTAATGTGCCAGGCTGACAACCCTTTCCTAAGAATTCATAGCCTCAACTAAAAATAGCTGTTTGGGCAAATTGTCAAACTCCTGCTGGGCCCACTTGACATCTGTCTTTGTCAGGTCATGGAGGAGAATGACTACTTTGAAAGGGCTAAGGGTTTATCGTTTCCTGCTGCTCCCTGGAGTTCTGCGCAGTAAGTGAAGCCTCTCAGTCACCATTAAGGGGAACCCTCAGCGCTTGCTAGTCTATTCCCACCTTCTTCACCCTTGCCAAGCCCTCATTAGCTCATGCTTGGATTTCTGCTGTGGCTTTTCGGGTGCTCTGCAGGAATCCAGACAGTCAGGACACAACAAGGGCAAGTTCCCCAGGACATCCCACATGGGGCCATGACCTACATGCCTTACTCTCTACAGTTGTTTGTTTGTTTGTTTCCTTCTTTTTGAAACAGATCTCACTCTGCATCCCAGACTAGAGTGCCTGCTGTCAGCCTAGCTCACAGCAAACTATCAAATTCCTGAGCTCAAACCATCCTCCCCCTCCGGCCTTGGTCTCCCAGAGTGCTAGGATTTCAGGCATGAGCCACCGAGCCCAGCTGCTTCCTGGTGTTTTGC